CTTAGCAACATCATGAGGGAAGGACACCTTAAGCATTTGAAAGGAGTCTGTTCCAGATGCCCAGTAAACTTAAAGTCTCTGTTCTAAAATCTGAGAGAAATAAGACAGAGCTTGTAGCTTCTGTCATTCGTTTCTGAAATTCATTGTGAAGGGGCTGATCCCCTCTGATTCTGTATATACTCTGGTGAAGAAAAGTCTGTTTCTTTGGACCTTCCCTCTCTTCTCAGGAGGCTTTCTAGTGTCGTGTTCTTTTAACAATAATTTATTTCTTTGATCCCCTTGAGACTAATGTTCCTTACTTTGCCCTCAGAGCACATAATCAAGGATGGTGAGGAAATTTGCTGATTCTGCAACCAACAGAAAAGGCTTCCTTGACAAGAAGCAATCCTGGAACTTAGGGAAGGGATAGGATTTGCCTACTAAAACGACTATTATCAATTATCAAATATTGTTTAACTTAAAAGCTCTTTTGCTCAAAATATGCCCTCCTACCTCTGTTCAAGAAAAATTTTAAGTGATACTCTAATTTTTCTTGTTTCAGAAACACAACTCCATATGCAACAATGGTATGTGACCTTCATCAAGACGGTAGTTGACTTTCCATCTCTTAATGATGTTGATCAAGTGAGGATAACTGTTCTAGAAAACAGAACTGCCATAGCTTCAACTGTGGTCAAATATAAAACTTTGGGCTCAGTAGAAAGATAACTGTATGAAATTTAAAGCCTGTGATATACAGGAAGACAGACTAAATTAATATAATGAAGCTTTCTGAAAGTGATTCTATGAAACTATTGCTAATATTTGCATTAATCAGAAAACAGAAAGGAGACCTCTTTTAAGATCATTATCAGAGAATTCTAGAAGTGGATGTGTTAAATAGAATCTGGAATATATTTGAGAAAACAGAATGAATATGTGAAAATAATATTTTTAAGCTGAGTCATCTTTACAGTCCACATTTTTTTCCTCCAGTGGCTTTCTTCTTCTACAACAGGAATTCCACTGAGTAACAGAATTTCCCTGAAACACATTTATTCTAAAGGATGAATAGATTTCTAGGGTTCCACAGCTGTATGTCTCCACACACCTTTGACAGTAATGAAATATTACTGCATTTACCATACCTAGATAAGTGAGAATTACATAATGAAATTCTATCAAATAACCTTTGCAGTGACATGCATAATATATACCACTCCTATTTTTAAATTAATTAAGGAACCTAACTCTCATTGATCTTTAAGTTTCTAAATGCTTTTGAAGGCCTAGGCAATAAAAAGCTGGCAGTATTCATTTGTGGCTGCTTATATAATAAAGAATTAATCAAAAAGTCCATATTCTGCCCTCTGATTCACTAAACTAAGGAAAGTGAAGTTTTAAAACATGACACAGAATCTCAGAACCGTAAATAAAAACTGCTTGCTAATAACACTGTTTTTTGATGCTGTTTCTCAGACACTAATTAAAATGCTACTGATGTAATCTACTGAGTACATTTTACAAAATCACTGATTTAATATTCCAATTTTGGTCAGTCTGTTAAAGAAAATCTCAGTTTTTATTTTTCCTGCATCATCTGCAAAGATGACACTGCCAGAGCATAGAGGTTCAAAGTTTGAAAAGCATTATATTTATATAGTCACAAATATTTTTCCCAGAAAATGCAGCATGTACAACGTAGTCACTATCAACTCCTTACTCATGCAAAATCTTTGTACAGATGATTATTACAGTATAAACACTACACTTTAAAAGTGTCACTATATCATTTCACAGAATGTTGTGTCCTTCGGTTTGTTTTGGTGACCTTCCACAAAATGTTGGTAGACACTGCCTTAGAAAGACGCCCATTCTGCAGTGATTTGCTGTGCAGTAAATAGTACATTTAAGAAAAATGTTTCCAGAAAAGCTGAAAACTATTTGCTTTCTTTTACTTCTTGTGGAATTTACCATCTCCAACATCTGTGGCATAGCAAGATCATTGGAAAGGCAAGGAAAGAGGTTTTGTTTTTCATTTTAAAGGCTAGGGAATTATGAACAGGCCGGAAGATGAATGGTGAAAGGTTTAGTAACCTGATCAGAAACTCTCTAAAGCAAGTGAAAAACACTTACTGAATCCAGTTAGCTTTCTGTTCTGTTACTGAGAAGAGAGAGATCTTTTCAGGATAGTATTGCAAGAAGCATATTATAGGAGACTATTTTTAGGTTAATAGCATTTTTAACATTTCAGTTACCTAAGGAATGTGCTACGCCATTTATCTAGTTGCAAATAATTTTATTTTGATAATAGAATCATAGAATCATAGAATCACTAAGGTTGGAAGAGACCTCTAAGGTCATCGAGTCCAACCGTCAACCCAACAACACCATGCCCACTAAACCATGTCCCTAAGCGCCTCATCTACCCATCTTTTAAATACCTCCAGGGATGGTGACTCAACCACTTCCCTGGGCAGCCTGGTCCAAT